AAAGAAAAGTGCTTCTTTTTGATCATCGCTTCTGTTCGCAAAATGGCACTTTTTGATTAATTCGAATAAAAACGTATTTTCAAGTCACATTGACCATTTTAAAGTAGACATTACAACGATTGAAATAACCACTAACACACTTTCCAAATATAAAAAAAGATCAAAACAATTGTTCGTTGAAGGGTAGTTTTTTCGAAAAATGTACATAACGCTTATTCAGCACCAAAAGCAGCTAAATCATGTTTATTCAGCACCAAAAAAGACATACTTTCACAAATTTTCATGTTAATCAAATCATTTATGCGCGAGAAAAAATTGTCAAAAAGTGTTGAATACAAAAGTTTTTGATTTCTTTATTATCCACAACTCTTCCATGGAACATTTTCCGCTCGGCGATCACGTTTTGCCGCAAATCGCAAAAACCCGTCTTCAACCCCTAAATTTTGATTTTATTTATTGAGTGCAGTTGTTCAAGAAAATTTGTTCAGTAAATTTGAACGCAACACACCTTATCACACCTGAAAAATGCTAAAAATGTATGACAAATTTGTACAACAGCAAGGATAAAGATGTCGAACTGGAAAAGGGTCATCACACATCATAATAAAAAACATAGATGAAGCAGATGTAACTAAGAGCGTACTCAGTTTGTCCTAATAAATAAATCATTAAGTAAACAACAATTTTGGAATGCGCTTGACTTGGCTTCAACTTATCATTGGGCGCTTGAGCCCTGCTGCCACTTTTAGGCCAAGAGCTTAATAAAACCTCTAGGTAAATTACATTTGTAGTTTTCCACCACTGCTGTAGGTAAAAAGCTGAACTATCTCCGACTCTTTAGAATTTCAAAAAATATAATCACATCAGTAAACAATTTCCCTCCCGAATTTTTTGTCCAGTAAAAACAACGAAAAAAACGTGAACATCTTAATGTCATCACACTCTCAATTCTGCTCTATAAAACAGGAAATGTTCAACTATACTAACTGAAATGTGCCGTCAGATTTGTATACGGTACTGTCCTAATTTAAAAGGGCCCTAAGCAGGAGCCCTTCTCGCGATGAGTGCACGGATTAGCAATCGGCCTGCTGGCCGGGTGGAACAGGAATATTATGCTAAACAGCCCGGCCCAACTTTAAATTTTATTTGAACGATTCCGTATAATTAAGATAGTTCACAAAAAGGAAATGGCTGCTGCTCGGAATTAGCTTTAAATCAGCATCTGGATGCTTTAATTATTGAAGCTCGACGATACCGGTACAGAGAGGAAATAGTAAATTGCGTAAATTCCGATAAAAGTTGCATCGGCTTAAAACAACAATCAAAAGCAGCCGAAGCTTTAAGATTTTCCGTTGATTTCGAATGCACTTGAGATTTTTAGCTACTTTAATATAGAGTTTTTTAGTGTCTATACAAAAAAAAACGTACTTTGATTACAAGGATTGGATCATTCGTTTATTTAAATGTAAAGGGTGTTTTCTCATAAGTTCACATCACCCTAGATCGTTTATTTCAGAAAAATTGTGAAAGTGGTCAACACAACAGGTGTTGTTTAAGTTTACTCAAATTTTTGAAATCTGAACTTAAAATAAAAATATAAAACATCGAAATTTTAAAATTTCACATAAAGTCGTTTTCTTTTAAATAAAACACCTAATGTATTTTTAGACAGGTCCATTGGATTTTTTTCCTGATTTCAGAAATATAGATATTGCCTATATTCGTATTAATCGTTTTGTCTGTATTATGTTTTAAAATTTAGCATTAACGTTTAATCTCGCGAATATAAGCAATATAATTTACTTCAAAGCAAAAATATAGCTTTGATAGCGTATTCTTCAATCTAATCTTGTTGAATATTTTTAGACTTTTCCATTGCACTAAGTTTACGTGAATCATGGGCCACACTTCGGCTGTATTTATTCACGTTCTTTTAAAAACATATTTTTAAGAAATAGGAAGTACATTTTCGTCTATAGTAATTAAAATAGCACCACTGTTTGCAGGTATAACCGAAAAAAACTCTCTTTTAAAAACTTCCAAACTGTAACATTTTGACTAGTTTCTTAGGTCAAATACAATCATAATTGTATTTACACAAATACAATTTGTGTAAATACAATTTGGGTAAGTACAATCGAAAACGTGGCCCATTTTAAGCGGTTATTTGAGCTTTTCCACTTTTATCGACTTTCGAGCGTTTACGGTCTTTAACCGACGAACTTTTCTTTAGACTCAAACACTACATATGCAATTCTTGCGTGAAAGCTAAACATTGAGCTTAAAAAGGGCGAAAATATAGTCGATTTTCTCGAAAAACCAAAACAACTCAATATTCCTCTTTTTCATCTTTATTCGACAGAAATTAATATGCAGTCCACTCTGAACCAAAATAACCTAAAGTCTTAGCACATTTTGAAATGTTCCGATACCTGACAAACTTGTCCATTGCAAGAACACTAACAAACGTCTTGTTATTGCAAATATAAATTTAGATGACAGAAAAAGTTTCTTCAAAGAAATAGTTCCTGATGGATGGACAGATGATCTTCATTAGTGGTCTTAATTGGTCGATTTACATATCAAAAAATTAAGGAATAGAAGAAATTGAAGGCAAGAGAAAATGAAAAGAAAACCAAGACATGTAGGTCTTGGTTTGGTTGCTATAAAAGGTCCTAAGTTTTTTTATTACAACAGTTAACTTTTCTGAATGTGAATAAGTGCGTTACCATCCATTAAAGTCGCATTCACAGCTTTTTAAAAATCTCTTAAGTTGCCTTGTTTGATTCTGATAAATGTTGTGATTAAAATTAATTTAGTAACTTGGGATTTAAATAGTTGTAGATTGACTCTTCAACCTTTCTCCTTTACCAGTTTTTTTAGTATTTAAAAAATCAAGCTAAATACCTGACTAGCCGTTTTTTAAGCATCATCTAGAGTCAGACAGTGAATTATTAGCCAGCAGAGCCCATAACCCTTTATCACTAACCTTTCTGTCAATAATAAAAATCCAGGTGGGGTTTTAGAGAGATAGAGACGCGCACAAATTGTGGGAGTTATAAATAACTTGACCATAGCGCGGCCCTAAGCCTGACTGTTTGTTATTTTTCATTTTCCAAAATCCGCATTCTCTGGCGGCATAATTCAGTTGGTTGGCTCATATCTAGTTTCCTGCGAGCTCGCTTTTTGCGATCCGTATAGTGCAATGATGCATCACTCAATATTGGAGGCTATTAATGACCCAATGGTAAAAAAGAAGACGACATTTATAAAGCTCGGGACAGAGCTGATGCCATTCGATATTAAATGCCGCATATGCAACTTTGAAAAAATATTGATGGTCTCTTTAAAGGTGAAGCGCACAAAAACAGTCAACGTTCAGGAAACTTACCATGGTATTGGAAACAGTCTATTTTTCACTGATCCCATCAACTGGTGCTGTTGGTGGTTTTCCGTTTTCTTTTAACGGAACCCGTCGCCTCAGGTGGTTTATTTTCCTGTAAACGTTGCGCCTTTTCGTCAACCAGTTTTTTCTGGAAATAGAAAAGAATCAATTGAAGAGAGAAATAACTTAAGAAAATTAATAAATTGTTACTTTTTAATTGATAGAAGAAACAGGCGCATTCAGAATGGCAAAATTGGTTGAGTAAAGGGAAACTTCTCACTCAATAATAAGCACATATTGAAGGGAAAATTAAAATCTGTATAGATTGATAGTTGAAGCGATGAATATGAGGAAAATTGCAGAGCATTGAAAAAACAGTTGAACTGTAAGAAAATGTTAATCAAATCTAACAGTTTATTGCTTGTTGCAATAAGCAGTTCCATTGATTAACAATACAAAATAAAACCTGTATATGCTCAAGGTTTGGCTGTTTAATGAATCACTCTGTATATTTAATAGTGGCTTCTTAGTGCACATTTTGCAATATTGTCATTTCAAACAATTCTATTAATGTCTTGGCTAAATTATTGAGGCCAACAAAATAGAAACGTCTAAGAATACAATATTAATTTAATATATGGCTTAGGTATTACTTCGTTGGAAATGTCATTTCGGGAAAATCGCCAATAATAGATATTATTTTGCAATTGATAGCTACTAATATTCAATAATAAATTATATCGATTTTGTACTTACTGATGCTAACACATAATTAGGGAATATAAATTATTTAGAACTTTCGAAAACTCCAGAAATCTTACATGGCTTGATGGATGCCTATCATGACCACGTTTAAGTGAAATGTTATTGCCAGAGTCATAAATATTAAAGTTAATAGATAATAAAGTACTAAAATAGAGGATTGGATTAGTTGAAAAACTCCCTAAATATAACGAATCAATGAAAAACTCTACAATTTCTTACCAAAGAATCATTTCTCCGCACTAGCAATTTAACATCATCTGCAGTCACCATTGAGCGTCTAGCATGCCTGAAACAAACACACGCATGAGAATCAACCAAGGAAGAAAATTTCCAATTAAATGACTTACTTGGCAAAAGCCTCCAAATCTGCACCATACAGCGACAGTTTCTTGTAGGTCAGCTCTGCAATCAGATCCAATGCATGTGATTCAAACTTCATGCCTAGTTGATCGCCTACTTCGCCAGTTATTCTCTTGGAGTATGTGCAGATATGTTGTTTTATTTGCTAGGAAAAAATAAATTAAAAAATGAAAAACAACTAACCTAAGCTAAGTAAAACAAAGAAAAGAATCACAAACAGACAAAAAATTTAATTACGGCAATAAAACTCCGCGCATGTTAAAAAAACTCTAATACATTTGCGAAACAAACATTTTCATTTGCAAACTTAAGTTTCTTCTCAGTTATTATATTTTTCAATTAATAGTATGTAATATGTAACAAATAGCTCTCAACCTCCTTTCAAAATTGTCTGATCAGACCACGGTTTCCAAAACTGCAGCAAAATTTTGAGTTTCCTGTTTTTGCTTCTTTAGCGAGAGGAGTTATCTAAAATTATATGTAAAATTACTGAATGAATTTTAAACCGTTTCTGAGATGCAGAATGATTTAAACTTGAAACCCAAGAAATGATGATAATGTTTACTTGTATCTGTTTAAAACTTAGGAACCGGTCCATGCAAAGATAATAAGGTCAGAAATAGTTCTTAATACAGGTTACAACAATAAGACAACACAACCAATAATTTATTTTTAACTACTAGAAAAAAGGCGAATCCCTACTCCGATGTTAATTTTTTACATCAAATTGGAAGTCTAAAGTTAAACAACTTTTTGAAAAGTTCAGATTTGCTAATACAGTTTACTCCAAACTAACCAATACTGACTCAAAATAGCGAAATAATAAATAATACTAAATAAAAAATAATAATGACGTTCTTTGAGTAGAAAATATATTTTTCTGTTTACACACTAAATCTAGAAAAATTGTTGAATATTCTTATCATGTTTCTCAAGTTCCGAGAAATGATAATTTGCTTATTTTTTTTGTTCATCAGGTTCTAGAATTTGAAGTTAACAATATGCTTACTTTATAGATAATCCCTTTACTACTAACAACATTTATTAGCGCTGTTTCTTGTGGAAGTGAGGCTTTCGACCACTTTTCACTCATAGAAATTCACTATTCTTTCATAAAATACTGAGGGACGCCAGAATGTCCACACTGTCTTTCACCCCCATTTGAAGGCATCGCAGTTCAAAATTTTTCGCGCGTTTGGCAAATTTATATTTTGCTTAAAGCGTAAATTTAGCCAGTAGTCGGACAGTTATCATAAGTTCAATCTTAATTATTTTATTACATTTCTGGTATTGAAGTACCAAATCTAAAACGTTTTCTGGGTAATAGCTGTGAGTTGGCTTCAATTTAAAAAAAAAAGTTTTATTTTATTAATCCGACTGCAAATTGTTAATGATTTTTAAACAAAAAAAGTGGCGTTTTGCTAGTAGTCGGATAATGCTTGCCAGTGGTCATATTTTCATCAGTTTCCCCCCATTTCGAACAGCTTCGGCAGTTACTTTTAGGGAATCTTCGTCATACTGATGAAATTTACCTTTCGCTTTCAGTTTCATGTCTGATATTAATGCAAACTATGAAAAAATCTGTATAAGTATCTTCAGGAAATGCCGAAAAAAATGTTAGTGTCCGACTTTTGAGGTATATGAAATATCATATCGGTTAGTGGTTGGAGAATTTTTACATGTTTTAATCCCTGTAGGTATTTGGTTTTTGCTGTCCGTCCACTAAATACGGATTAAAACTTTTAGTGTATATCTGAAATGAAAAGAAAATATCGATATAGTTTGTAAATAAATGGAAAGCGAGGAGAACTAGAAGGCCCAACTGTTTTATGTAGTGGGACACCCGTCCGACTACTGGATTTATTACAAAATAATATTCCAGTTTGGCGGTCATCTAAATTTTATTTTTAAATATTGAAAAATTTACGTTTTAAATTAATATTTCATGTAAATTTAAACTCTTATTAATATCCCTACCGTTTATGATTCTCCCTAAATTATTAAATTTAAAATATAACTTACCTTTTAACTGTTTCCACCAATCTTTAACACAGATAAACTGGAGAGTGCCAACACATCGTGACTTTCGCGCATTTTCAACGGTTCAATGATGACATCTCCACAAATTAAAATGATAAAAAATTGTAGGTAAAGGTTGACAGAATTCATATTGTAATTATTTTAGGCGATACTGTTTCATGGGTTCAACTTATTTTCAAATGTATACGTTTTGTCCGACTACTGGGTGTGTCCGGCATACTGGCGAAATTACCCTACTTGATTTTTCTTAGGCACATTTGGCGATTTTCAGTTAATTTCGATTCGTTTCTTAGTTTTTCGTAGTTTTCGTTGGTATTGATTTATGACTTTTTTATAATGTTACGCAGCTTTTTTCCCGAAAACGCGAATTTAGCAACAATTTATAAAGTATGGACTTATGTTCGATGTTAGATCTTGGTTATCTTGTTCGGTGGTGGAAACCCAGTGCATTTCAAAAGTGGTTGAAAGGCGCATTTCCCCAACAAACAGCACTAAGAAAAGTCGTTAGTAAATCTATGTTAGTATAAAATAAACATATTTATAATTATATACATATATTATAATGAAAAGCGTAGGTCTAATAAACTAGAAAATGTTCTAAAAATACAGTGTACCCACATAATTATTAATATCTACATAAACATAATACATAAAGGGTTTTTACCTGCTCCGTGTTCATTTTAAATGAGTGAAAACCACAGATTATCAAACTACGAAAACGTTAAACAAGCCAGTAAAAATTCTAACCTGAACAAGTTGCTGGTACTGGACCTTTACGAATTTTAGGACAATAATTTCTATTTAAGAACGTTTTAATTATCTGAACAAAATGCCGTTATTCCTTTGAGCAATTTAGAGTACGGAATAATTAACAATTTATAAGCCAAAAAAATGTGCAAAATAATATCACATGAAAGAATAAGTTTCCGGCATTTCTAGCAACAGCTGACAAGAATCAACAACAGTATGATTCAGGATTTCTTCGCATTCAGGCGAAGGAGGAGTTGCTATCAGTTAAAACTGTTTAGGCGAATATTTCAAGAAGTTTTAAATACTGTTTAAAGAAACGATAATTTTTGTGTCAATGCAACAATTGACTAAAGACATTGTCATAAACAAATCATTGTCACCACGACTTCACGTTGTTTATTGGTTGTCATATTTTATTGAATAATTCCTGTAAAACTCGAAGTTTAATTCAGTCGTTACCTAATAGATGTCAGGGTATGCTTCATGAAAACACTTCCTCCATTTGAAATACCGGGCTTTTCTCAAATTTCTAGATTTTATAGAAAAAAAGCCACGTTTATTCAATTTTTTTGGCGAAAAACACTGTCAGAGATATAGGCTCTCTGACTTTCTCTTTATTGGTTTGCGTTTTTATTGAATAAAGTGCATGCAAAATGTTAAGCAAATTTATAATAATTAAATAGTATCAAAATTTCTAATCAGAAAATAAATTAAAAACAGAAAATAAATTTAATTGAAATGTGGACGTTCCTTTAATTTGAATTGAAAACTTTAGCCTGTTTCTTCCTTATAGATCCCTGGAAGTTCAAAACGGTTTTGACAATTACGGTAACTCTTTCCGCATTCTTTTGTTGAAATATAAACGCTAATATTTTTTTTAAATATGTTTATACAGACAGTTGCTTGCTCTACACTAAAACTACATATTTTAAACGGCGATTTTTCTGTTTACATTTTTCACACACAAACACCGAAACACATGGTTTGATATATTTTTATAAAGCTTCTCAGCGTTTTACACGTTTTTGAAAGAAATAAAAAACAGGAAAAACTAAGAAAATGTTTTAAAAATTATATTGTAGTTTTGTAATTAGTACACGTTCTCCCACAAGTATTCCAAATCTCAAACTATTTCAATAAGTTGCATAAAAACCACATAGAGTTTAACCGTAATTTGTTCTGATAATATATGGATTTATTCTTTGAACTTAATTTTATTTATTTACTTTATTTTAGCAAAAATTTAAACATCTGCCTTTTATTTTATTAAAAATTTATTGAATTACAACTTAAATTACTTAAAAACAATTGAATTATTTCTGGACTGGACTGTATTGATGTCATAATTACAAGATTATATTCCAAACACTTCGGAAATTATTCTTAATATACCATAACTTTAACCTACCAACATTCAAAATATCCCGCAGTTTAAGTTTTACTCCCTCGCTACAGAAATACCCACTCAGTTTTTAGAATAAAACATATTTCTTACATCTGTTTGTGATTTTCCTGAGTTTCCTGACAATCTGTAAACTTACAAGTACCGACAGCAAATGAAAAACTACTAAAACGACGGCAAAAGTTCCTGTTATCGTTGTAACCCCAAAAATTACACCCCCTATTGAACCCGATTACCTCTCAATTTCCCCAATCGGATGAACTCCGCCTTAGGGGATGTATTCCATGCAATTATAGTCCTATTAAGTACCTGTTAGAAAATGCAAGTGCCCATTTGCTACCCCTTTTGCTCTGTATCGTGCAGTTGATTCGATTTGTTTTATAATGGAAGAGAGCACGTATGTAAAGAACTTTCAAATTGGGGAACAAACCAAACGAACGCAGCATATTGAAAATCGTTTATTACAAAAACACTTGGAATCTGAACATCTACAATGGTACAATCATCAATATCACGATCACGAATATTTGTCTAATTTGAGCTAAAATTATATAAATGTAGCAGCTAACAGCCGTAGAAAAATTGTAGAAAATGTTTATAGATTACAAAAGGTGTGCCACTAAGACTAAGTTAGAGATTATTAGGGAAATTATCCATTTTGCGGCAGAAGTTCTCCATATTTTTGCTGAACTGGAGACAGTCTCTTCTGTAACAAAAAACCCGTAATAAATTAATTAAAACAATACAATATGTGAAAATACACAACACTAATTGTGGATTTTTAGTGCTTATTTATAGTGATTACGCTTTTCTGAGCTAGTTTATGTTTTTTCAGTTCTATGTTTCGCTGCTTTCTGAATTAATTTAAATTAATGGTCATTGTTTGAATAAGTTTAACGATTTTGCAGTGGAAAGTCTATGAAGTGACTTGGTTAATAAGCAGATTGTTGTCACCCAGTACGAAACAAGCGCGTGTAATTATCCACTGCATTTATAAATTTTTAAGTAGTTAAACATACGTACCTTCGTAATAAATAGCCTCTTTTCGAACCGTGTAATTAGTAAGGGCGACATGTAATTCGCATAAAATTACGGTACCATCTATAAGACTGTCCGAACTTATGGATATTTCCACGTCAAATAGTCCACTTGGTGTTTCTTGGTACTTTAAGGTAACGTTCTCAGCTTCACTGCAAAAAGTTTCATATTAATCATATTTCAAATAAGAACCAAAAATTTGCTTACCTGCTGTTTAAATACAATCGCATTTCGGGCTTAGGGTAAACTTGCTCAGCGTAGCACAGAACTTTCGAGTTTCTTTCACTGCGGTACCATACTGGAGGGTACTTTAGTTCCAATGATTTTTCTGGAACTGAAAAAATCTTAATAATTACATTGTTCCTAAAGTTAGTGGTTAGCTTATGGTGGGGTGTTAAAAAGCTAAGTAAACATGCATACATTTATGATTAAATTTGATTAATATTTAAGGTGTCCCGTAAATAGATGATCAAAATGGTCTTACGGCGTTCTTTAACTCGAAAAAACAACAATTTCTAAAACGTGATTCCAAAGTTCTCAAAAAAGTTAAATTTTACAAAAGATTGTAAAAGAGTAAGTTGGTTCAAAAAAATACTAGAACCATATAATAAGGCAAGAATTGAGCGCATAATAAACACTCGTACAAAATTAAGAACTTGACTTTTTCATATGAATTTGAGAATTTAAATTTTTTCAAGTTTCAAGGCGTGCAAACCTTCTTTGTTAAGATTTAATTGCTACAAATGTTTTTATTTGCTTGTTTAGAACCCAAGTCAAGTACATCTGAATTAAATATTCTACATCTATATTGAACTAGCCGGAAGAAAATGTTTAGTGATAACATTTTCTTCATACTTTGTTTTTTGCTATTTCTTTGTCTTTTCTTCTTTCGATTCCATTTATCTTAAGAAATTGCCATCCACTTTGTTCAATTTCCTCAAATAAAATCAAAGTTGTGTACAAGAGTGGCAGAATGAAAGGCGTATTAAAACGGCGAACCAATTTTCAAATTAAAGCTAATGTTGAAACATACACATATACGTTGTTGGATTTTAGTAAATCTAACAGAAGAGAAAAACGAAAAAAAAAAGAATGGTTCAAGTTGAAAGACCACAAAGTTGCTTTTGCCGTTAATGGAATATTACGAGCTAATTAAATGCTTTACGGGATTCCAAAAAAAACCTCGTAAAGTGCATTATGCTCCTAAATTAGCAGAGAAAACTAATAAATATTTTACAGCCCATCAACTTATCTTTTAAAAAAATTCCAGCTCCATAACAACGTTGCATTTCATCGTTCGTTTATGATTTAATGTTATTTATGTAATATATTTACCTATACCTCAAAACTCGATTTAAATGGCGTGTTATTGGTTACCACTCAACTGGTTATTTAAAAAAACATTTAAACTGAAAATTACGTTTTTTACGAAATCTATGCTACTTAGCATGATCTAAAATGTAACAAAACTAATGTCTAAAAATGTACAAAACATCGCTTTCTTTCTTCAAAACATCCATATTCATATGCTTGGGGCCTTGTTTCAAAAAGTATGTTTTAGGCATATTTAGTGAGCTGAATTTAAGGGCGTTAATTAAGTATCCTGTTTTATAATTATATTTTATAAATAAAAAGTTCAAAGGCATTAGCGAGTGCAAAGATGGATCAAGAACCTTGCGGGCCGTAAGCCCTAAATATTTTAGGCCTCTTCTCTTTTAACGGCGGAATAAAAATCTTTGATGATTTATGTTTAATCGTTTAAAAGTATTTAAGTTGCACATAAAATGCGAAAATGGGTCGAAGATGTTTTGCTATAAACATAAATAGCAAAAGCCTTAACACATAAAGCTTGGGGCCTTACAGAAACTGCGGCCTTAAAACACGCGCTTCATTGGCTTTATGTAAAACTTCAATAATACATACTCCTGTATGTATTTGAAATCGTAATTTTTTAAGTAGGACTCACTCAACATTGGCAAAAATCTTGTATATTTACACATCTCTTAGAACTTTCTATTTATTTTACCAATTATATCATTTATCTTGTATGAATAAGCGGAAAGGAAAAGACACCATTTAAAATATTCTTCCGATAAAGCACATTAATTTATAGTCGATTATAAATTTGGCTCGTGCTTCCCGCTTAATTAATTCGATAAATTATTTATTTTCCCAAACCGCGTTAACAAAATAATTTGATTCATTCATAAATTATCAGATGATTTTTTCCTTCATTTTTATCTAACTGAATAAATAAAATATTATGATCGGGTGATATCAATTGCTAGCACAAACCAAAATAGCGCATTGCAACATAGACAATAATAAACTTTGACTAATGTTTATAACAATTTGGTGCGTTTCCAGTGGGGATCTCAAACGGATTCGGTCAAATAAGCTACATTTTTGCTAAATATCGTTGCTAAATCAAATACAAAACATATTTGCGGGACCAAACTGAAATAAATCACCAAAATCGACCAAAAATTCCCAAAAATTTGATTTTAATATAAACTTTTAAGAGCAATGCAAAATATTGGTGACCTCCATGGAAACGTTTCCGCCCTACGGTTGCCATACGTTTCACAACATGGCAACATCGATTTCTGCACATTTCCTCTAATTCTAGGGTAACATTCGTCCCAGCTGTGAACTGTTACTTTGACAGTGCAGTTGTGATTTTCCACGTTTATTTATTTTTGATATTAGTGATTTGTGGATGGTTTTATGTGAGAATGTTGTGCTAAAAATGGTGGAAATCAGGGGAAGAAAATTGGTGGATTTCTTAGGCAAACTGCAATCTCGTGTAAGTAGAGGTTCAATGGTAATTAAGGTTATATTTTGCTATGGAGGGTTTGTTTTGCTGAAGATTTTTGCTTAGAGATTATGGGAAATCTATGAAATTTAGGCAAATACCAGAGGCAGGCGATGTATGCAACTTCTAGCATACAGAATATTTTAAATGCCCATGAATTTATTTGTCATTTCCTTTTTTTAATAACTTCTTCAGCTTCTCAAAATCAGCTACTTTAAAAAATCCTCAATAGATGTTCAGTTATATGGTCCGACATTATACTCCCATTTTACAAACTTCTATGTGAACACATTCCGGTATGAGGATTTCCTGTTAAATGCCCTGTTTTGCCCAAGAAATTGAAGGAATAATTCAAGTCCCTTGCCCTGATTTGCTTCCAAATTGTACTAAGCTTGTGCAAATACGTAGTAAGAATTTTAATCAATTAGAGCTTTATTTAATAGAAGTTTTGGAGGCTTACACATAAATAATTTGAGTTAAACGAGCAGTCAACTTTAAAGCAAAAATTTGAGCACATTGACTGCAACACTTTAATTCTTCCACCCTGAATTCTAGATTCATTGATTAAATGGTCGTTATCAGTTGAGTTAAGTAAAGGTATGTAAACATATCACTAGTATTACTGTGTAAACTACATCATTCAGAAATTCCCATCATATAGTCTTATCTGCATTATTACTAATCTATTAAAAATAAATTCATCAACACCTAGATTCGATCAGTAAACTAAAATTGATTCATCCAGAACAAACAAATACTTGGAAAATGAAACTTGCACTTTTTTATAGTAAGTTTCAAAGTAACCACCGAGTGAAAAGACCCTGCAAATATAGGTCGAATGCAATGCAATGCAATTCATTTAATTTCATATAAAAATATTAAAGTACAATCAAGTTTATACATCGAACAAAAAGAAAAGGCATAAACTTCATAACGAAAAAAGTAACATTTCCTGAAACTTTTTGATCAAGAAGTTCCCCTAAAATTTATTTTTTTTACTTCTTCTCGACATGCAATAAGTTACATCATTTTCTGTTAATTCGAAGCAGTTCATTTGATTAAAAAACAAACCGAGTAGGTCAATTTTGATATGAGAGACTTTAAGGGAATCTTTTGATGAAGTGAATTTGACGCCTAATCGGAAACTTTTTATGAAACTACATAGTTTTAATTGGGAAAGAGCGCCTGAGGAATTTTTGAAAAAGTCAATTTTTATTAAATTAGTTAGATTAGAGTTTCTTTTCTTAACGATATTTTGAGAGAACGACGATTGCACCTCCCACAGTTTAAAATTAATTTGTTTTATGGTGTAGAACATTCCCTCAAAATCTCACAGAATAAAGTAAAACAGCTCATTGAAAAGGTCAATCGATTTGATCATGCACATGTTTTGGATATTTGAAGACGCTTTTTATGAAGTGCACTTTTTGTGTTAGTGTTGTTTTTTACTTTAAAATTGAACCACCCTGCATAAGATAAAAAACATTTTTTTAATGTAGCGAGTTGTACGAAAGTTTTTATGAAGATTTTCGAAAAATCAGTTAAAAAAACTAAAAGGTGTATTTTACTTAATTATGACACAAGTGTCTTCTTGACGGTAACACAAAATATTCTCATTTAATCGCGTTTCTTATCTAAGGAAAAATATTATTATTTTTTTCTATTATGTCAACAATCACCCCCCGAATATATTGACTTCCATTTAAAACATCCTGTAAAGGAACATTTCACTTCATTTTAAGTGGGCCGGTTATAATCCTTGCCTAAGGGATGGTGAGTGTTTTTAAAACACCCTGTACTTTGTGTTTTAATATTTTTTTAATTTTATTTCGTGACGACTTTTTCCAGTAGATCTTTCTGATATTGTCGTCTAATTTCGTCTGAAGATTTTTGACAGAACTTGTTCTAATGCAACAGTTAAGTTCTGGTCCCAAAATATCAGTGCAAAAAAAAAGTCGGCCGTGAACGTTTTTGAATAAATGAGCAGATCAAACTTGAAAACCTGTTTTTGATTGCTTAAATTGTAAAGGTAGCGAATTGACATTGTTAATTTTTGATTTACAAACATTTCGTTTTCATCATCGTTCAACCGAAAATCGGTTTAGAATCGTCCTAAAAGCTAGGTTGTTGGATGCAACAATTTTTTATTGTATAAAATACAAGTGCAATTGTTGTTGTGCAAGTAATACACTATATAAATGTGCATGTTCTCTTCGACGTCTACTATGATATTTTCTTCGGAAATAAGAAAGCTGAAATTGATTTTTTCCATTAAATTAACGGGTATGTTGAATATAATTAGATTCGCATTATATAATTTGAATTTCTACGCTTTTAAATGTCAGTCTGACTCGCAGTATGGCCAATTACTAATTAATTATGGCAATGAACTTTCTGTGCAGCCAAATTAATTCTGTAAGTACATACTTACTATAACACTAAGTACTTAAATGTATGGTATTGGTTTGCGCTCATTAAACATTCATTAGAAATTTTAAGTTTATATTATATTCATGTTTTGTAATTGCCTTTCTTATGAAAAAAATTACTTTTGTCACGCGATTATGGGTTTGAAATCAACCTATTGAAGTGAAATATTGGAATAAAGTACTTAATTTAAACTTTCATCTTGAAGAACAGCGTACTTAATAAAATAATTTTCACTTAAAACAAGGAATAACGACGAAAGGTTTCAATAAGTGTACGTCATTGTTGATGAAAAGATGGCAATGAAATATTGTTTTTGAGTTGTATTTTGTTTAAGTAAAGAAATTTCTTATCAAAATTTTCCATTTTTCATTCACATCCCCAGCGTAATATGATGTGGTTTTGCCTTTTGAACTGTAACGATTTTTTCCTTAAAATAAATTTGCGTAATTTCAGGGGCAGAAAGGCCGGTTTGATGGATAGCATCTTTCGAAAGAAATGAAGATGATTACTATTATTATTATAAAATTGCCTTGAAATTTTGTATTCGACTATTTTCTCTAATATTGTTATTTCAGAACCAGGCGAGTTCTGTAAAAAATTACGGTTTCCTAGCGTCGAAAAATCACCCTGCATACAAGTAATCTGATGCAAAACTTCTAATAAAAAAAATAACGGTTAATTAAACTGGTTTCCACTCGATACTCAAAGTAGCTGTGGATGTATTAAATTGTTTTCAATCAATTTTTTCCGCCCATCAAGTGCATAATAATTATTAGTGGATTATTTCCATTCAAATCTATAAACAATGGACGTTATTGGACATCACTTAAATGACCTTGTTGTATACCGCGCAATTTACTTTTGCATCGTAAATCGAGATTTTATTTAATTAACATAAAAACGGACTTTGTTAATTCATTATTCTAATTAAAATGTTTCAAACAAAACGTGACATAGCTAGTGCAGTGGGCCAGTCAAGTGAGTGAAAATACACTTAAGTATTTTCATTGCAAAAAAACAACTTTATAAAAATTGGATGCGTTAAAGTGTCTTTAATTTCCCAGTTGTTTTAAGGTGAATGTGAGTATCAGTGTATTTTAATTTTTAATTGTTCAACCCGATTTCAATCAATGGCAGTTTAAGTTTTGAGTAGTTTTATATGTAAACTTTCATATCTAAGAGTCGGTACATCTTGTTTGTATTTGATGAAAATTTTTAAGTCTTACTGAAATTCTTAATCAATTGTCTTGTAAGCATTTTGAACTACCTAATAAGTAACTACAATAAAATATTTAGTCGGATTATTCAGAACGACTCTTAAAGAAAATGATAATTTTAATAATGTAGCTAATTTTAACTATATCAAATTAAATGGCGAAAACCGGGTGCCGAAAATCTTCAATTGACTGGTTTCAAATCATAAATTTTGCTTATGCCCCCAAAAAAGCCACAATAAAAACTGGTAGTTACATAAGTGGGTTTGCGCTTCTTATCTTATTTCAAGTGGAAAGTATTTCCGCTTTGGTTATTGTCGTTTTCTATTATTTGCATAATGAATGGCTCTAATGCATTTTCCGCTACAATTACAATCTCCGTCAGCATGCGTAATTAATAATGCATTCAAGTACGGTATTTTCCACAGTTGGTAAAGGTGGTTAATTTAATAATAATAATAAAAAAGGAGAGTCAGACTGTATAGATAATTATAGACCAATAAGTTTGCTTCCCAGTTTTTCTATATGCATGAGATTAATTAAATTGTAAACATTCTTAACATGTACCGGCATGGTTTGATTAAAGGAGAATCAACTCAAAGGGCCATACTTTAATTTATGAAAAAAGTAATGTTTTATGTAGATAAGATGCCGCTAGATGGATGATGTTAATTGGGAAATTAAATTAATGTTCATTAGGAAAATGGGGAATAGGAGGAAATGTAAACAGATGCTATCAACTTCATACCTGCGACCGGCAAATTTTCCTTGGAAATTTCCTTTGAAATCGGAAATTTTATTAAGTAGTAAAAATAATACGTTTACGTAAAATTTGGGGCAAGCAGGCAACAAGTTGACTACTCCGCCCGCGTTTACCGCATTTAACATCGTCCATTATTGGCCTACCAAAATAAAAACATTTCCACTTGATCCGTCCATTCATGAGATGTTAGTGGCAGAACCGGAGAAATCTGAACCTTCAGGTGTTTTAAAATCTCCAAAAAATTCGAAAATAAATACAGAAACTTTCTCCGGTAAAGAATGTAATTTTTATCAAGAGGACCGCCAAAGTTTCAAGACTGAGAACAAGGAGATTGATGATCGTCGATCAAGAGTTTTGGTGGTCTGGGATTTTATTTATGTTGTATTAGCTTTAGCCAAAATGTGTGTTTGCCAAAACATGTGTCATTTTTTTCGCAAATATTCATTAAACTTGATGCTCTTCATTAAAATTCCCAAAATTATCCCACCACATATTTGTTACCAAAATGTAAACCTCATGAGAAATGGAAAAACTTAATTAAGCTAATTGATTTTACAAACTTGTTTAAACCAGGAACGAGAAAAATTACCTAAGTATAAGTATTAAGAGAAGGAGTGTATCACATTATCTTGTTTAAAAACTCCCTGTTAATTGTAACTTTACAAGACTGAGCGTTGTTTTCCAATTTTTTCCGGGATATGTCATAAATAAGTGTTAAGTACCTTTTCGTGTTGAGCAACCCAGTATATTTACAGTTCTATGTACGATGTACATTCCATCTTTAGTAACCCGGTTATAAACTGTTTATTATTATTTCGAACGCAGGGATGATCAACTCTTAACATCAACTTATCAATGTAAATAATACAAGTGGATAAAGCGTGTTCCAATTAGAACAAAGTCAAATAGTCGGCTTAGTAGATTTTTTTGTAAAGTACGGTTCAATATACCTGAGTCATTTATCTAGGGCGATTTGGTTAAAGCTTGCAAATATTTGAGCAGTTGATTAATGAAAAACATGTAGATGGCATTTCAAGTTTGGTAAATTGTAAAGTGCTGTAAACGCTCCAGATTGTTACTTAAGGACTTACTTAACTACTTAAGGACTGATCATTATCTGAATTCCGAAGCTTGATGAAAAAGTTTGCTGTTCTGTACGAAAGCCAAATTTCTAAGCTATGATCTATATTTAATAATCTGGCTTTAACCCAAATCGAATTATGTCCAGGTTTCGGCCGATTGCTTGTATAAATCAGGATGGAGTTATATACGTATTTCAACACAAACACATTGTGAACATGGAAAACACGTGAATATTTCATTTTGATTCGTTTTATGTAAGCAATTATTGAGTGTGGTTTGAGGCTGCAAATTGATCGCATCAAGTACCTATTGACTCAACAAAGAACACGTTTATTTTCGGATTTGTATATTTTCGCTTTATTTTCATTGCAGGTGACGATGGTTTGAACGCTACCAACTGAAATCAGCTCCAAATCATATGTATTTGCTGTTTTTCAATTGCTTCCAAAAGACTTCCAAATTCTACAGAGCCACTGAATAAATCTGAACTTATTTTATATCAAACTTTTACCTTCACACCAATATTACATTATTTATGGACTGATTTTATATATTAAGAAAATACAATAGAAAAATGACTGATAATTTAGAAAATTACGGAGGCAGCAGGCTCTTGGAGGGTCTGAGTGGCTACACCAGTTTGCACTTGGATCAGCTGAATTTTTTAGTATCGCAACTTGTAGCCTTGACTATTGCTGCCCTGTATAGGTAAGCATTGATTTAGCAGAATTACTGGAATTTTGCGAATATGGGTTTTTTTATGCAGAACGTTGTTGGGACCGGCAAAAGTTAGCCCTAAAGTTCGACACGTTTTTGGACTTTTGTTTGGATTATGGATGTCGTATTTTTGCTTCGGCTATCAAGCTCTACATCTTGCAGGATTGCCGGCGGCTTGTTATCTGGTAGGTTTCTTAAAGCGCAATTTTTTAAATCCTGTTGTTGCTTGGTAAATTTATTATTATCCTTCCAAGTACGCAGCTTAGATAAGCTTGTTTATGTACTGTTGTCCGATTGTTTTGTCGGCTAAAGCCGTTATTTATATACATACAGTAATAATCAGGAGTCAAAAATTATTTTCACTGTAACATTAACAACTAAGTTGACCTAAATTACCCCTATTTTTACTAAATATGTTTAATGACGTATTTTTTTTGCTTCTAGGTGATTTTGACCCAAAATCCATCCATAATGCACGGCGCTGTTCTTTTCACTGCCATCTTATACCTTTCAATGATACATCTGTACAGGCAACTGTTTGATGACAGTTCTTTCGGCTTGGACATAAGTGGGCCCTTAATGGTGATTACGCAAAAAGTGACCAGTTTGGCATTCAGTTTGCACGATGGTATGGTGGAGAACGACGAAAAATTGACGGAAACTCAGCGATCTTACGCTTTGAAGAAGGTTCCTAATTTACTGGAGTTTTTTAGGTAAGAAACCAAATCCCGAAAGAATGTTGGTTTAAAACAGTGTTTTATTTTTGGTATACATGATGGCTATTCGTGCAGTTATGATTGTCAAGTTTTTTCAGTTTATTATCTTAAAAGCGAACTTTTCGATCAAAATTAGGCACTTTAAGTTAAAAGTGTGGGGAAACGGTCATATTGATGGAAAATAGGTTTGGATAGAAATACATATATAAAATATTTAAAAAAATTACTACTAATATTTTGCTTCAATTAAGCTCATTATCCAGTCATTTTGAACTAACTTGTTAATTTGGTAACAAAATCAAACGACATCTTATTGAGTTTTACTGAAAACAGACTTTTTATCTTTTTTTGTTTATTCAACGTTTTAATCGCGAAAAAAATTATCTAAAGAGTCAACGCTCCCGAGAGATAACCATCGAGTTGTCGTCATCGATAGGCTTCAAAACGTTTTTATTTTCTTCATTTACATCATCTTGTTTTTTCGGTCTTTCAACTTGCAGCAATTGGAGGCGTTGGGTTTTTCGTTTTTCCGTGTTGCCTTCGTTCCTTATTTTGTTTTTTTTTCTGGATCTTATGACTTTTGCCAGTGCTCTTTAATGTACACTTTAATTTTTAGCAACTGACTTTTCTGAATGTTTCCTTTTATGTTTTAAAACACACTTGCCGTCTTTATTTTAATCCATCAATCGGTCTGTGTTTAAAATCTGACTACTTTCGCTTGTAAATACTTTATATTGGGAAAAATGTATAATCTTCGCAATTTTGTTGCTCTATCTGTTCATTTTAATAGAAACATGTTTTTTTTCAGTTACAGCTTAATGTTTCCATCACTCATGGCTGGTCCAGCTATGTTCTACAAAGACTACATAGAGTTCATTGAAGGCAACTCATTAATGGACTTAAAAAAGTCAACGCCGTCCTCTAAGCCAGTTGTGGTGCACGAGCCAAACTTAATGAAAGTTGTGTTCAAGAAACTGGCCTTAGCGATAGTTTGCGCTTTAGTATTCGTGCTATTTCTTCCACGGTTTCCCATAACCCGATTGAAAGACGAGGATTTTATCAATAACACGACATTCACCTATAAGTTTTGGTATTTGTCTGTTGCCACCTCGTTAGTGAGAGCCAAGTATTATTTCGCCTGGACTCTGGCAGATGCGATTTGCAATAACGCCGGAATGGGATGGGATGGAAGTTCTTGGAGCCGATATACCAATGTGGATATTTTCCGCTTCGAATTGGGAACTAGCCTGAAGGAGAGCATTGAAGCCTGGAATAAGGGCACAAACCAGTGGCTTCGTTTCATAGTGTACAAGAGATCGAGCAGCTACTCGACTTTAGCAACATTCGCGTTGAGCGCAATTTGGCATGGTTTTTACCCTGGCTACTACATCACATTTTTAAGCGGGGCTTTGTTCACATTCGCTTCCAGAACCATGCATCGACATCTCAGGCCCCACTTTATGTATTCTAGCGAGTCCAAAGTATTATACAACATTATCACTTTTGCCGCCACCAGACTGGTCATGGTTTATATTACTTTTCCATTTGTTTTATTGGAATTTTCCGGCAGCGTTCTCATCTATCACAAACTGTACTGGGTGTTCCACATTTTCGCCTGTCTCACTCTCTGGATGGTACCTCAACTTCTGCCTAAAGATAAAATGGGGGAAATGATTCAGAAAAACGGCATTGCCATAGCATTGAGCAAGGCTGGTCCGTATTCAGAAGCCGTTGGCAAAATTGACTGATTTTATGTATTCACTTTTTCTATGTATTATAATAAAATGCTGCTGACGGATATCTCGAATATATGTAATCTGCCAGAATGGGGTTTTATAACAAATCTTCTGCAATGTCTGCTTTAGTTTTCCAACTTAAAGTCCGTCTTCCACTATTGCTTTGGTGCTAAATGTTTTGGAGGAGTTTTGTTTATTTTTATGATTTTCACGGTTCTAGCAAACCAATAAAGAAGATTTGAGGCAAAAATTTTCAATTAAAAGCTACATCGAATATTTAACGTGTATCTTCTGATATTTACCACATCTGAACGGAATTATTTCTTTTACAATTTAGTGATGAGCGTCGGCTTGAGGTTTGGGTTTAATCTGTCAATAACAACGTTTTAATGTTACTAAAATGAGGCTTTTTTAATAAACGGGTTTAGCGAGTGCCTTGTTTGCATGCAGTGAAGTTCAAATGAAGACGAGCGACCTGACTAGTTTAAATCGAATGTACATACACAAGAAAATGTCTGAAACAACAAGGTATTTATTTTATACTGCTAATGACCAAAAGGCAGATTAAAGCACACACCAACTTTATTTTATAGGATAATCTACTTATTGATTGATATTGATATATGCCTTCCCATATATTTTGTTCCAAATGTACATTGATCAAATAAAGGCAAATGCTACTGCGATTTTTTTAATATATTGTAAATACTAAATGTCAAGATTTATATGAAATGTTTATAACTTTTTGTTATACAATAAAAATGCTTTAATATAAAAAAAAAACAGTGTCGTTTTATTCGAGTGACTTACCGAAAACCAGCATCCGTTTAGTTTGAGTGTCTTCGCTGCTAAACGTTGAAACCGAACACGTGAAGTTTCCAGCCAGCTCAGGACTGAGTTGGATAATTTTTAGAGCCCTGTGGACCATGTAGCGATCCTCAGATGCCCTGAATGTCAAATCTAGGCGGCCTTTGAGAATACCTTAAAAGGATTTGGTTAATTTAAATGTAAATTGGTTAAATGAGTGCTGCGAAAGAGGCCTTTGATGGAATGAGAAGAATCTGGATTTGGGTGAGTTAGTGTTAATTTAGATTTTCATTATATTTGCTTTTTTAAAGATTAAGTTTGATATGGCGGTTTTCATGACTCGTCATAAATTGAAATATTCAGCCAGTTTAAAGATATGGCGGTTTTTTTAGCAAGACAACTACATTTTTTATGATCATTTCCATCATCGCCCAGTTTTTCCAAATTTTTAAGACCCGATTCGTAGTTGAAAACATTTTTTTTTAAATAGACGGAAAGATGAGAAAAACTTGCGGCGATCGCATTTCTGCTTGAAGTGAAAATGCAATTGTAACTATCAAATCGTGTATTTAACAATAAGCCCAGATTGCCCAGAAAGGAACATAAAATAATAAAATTGTTTTAAGTAAGTATACGATATCTTAGTGAAAATTGCATTTTCAGGCAAACAATTTGTTTTAACAAAGTGAGAAAATAACATGAAAATTGAAAATGTAAGCGAATTCTAATTTCTTCCTCCAATAATCTCCCGACACGAAATTTCGTTCAGTTTTTCGATTCCCTCGTGTTAACTTTTACATTTTATTTCGCAAACTGCCCAGTTTTGGATGATCTATATTAATTAATGTATTAATGTATACACTCGACAATATTTTATTTGTTGAATACATATTTTTATCTTCAAAATCTGTGAGTGTCCAGTGGCTCACAAATACAAACGTGCACAATTTACTTCACGAATCTTCAGCGAAAGAAAATGATTGAAACCAGAACTAATAATCCGATTTGAGTAAATAACGTCTCACCTAATTCTTGAGGTTTGGCATCAGGGATCCACTGATAAACCGGATAAAGTCGTTCATTAAAAAACCACTTAACCACCAATCCTTCGTCTTTTGGGAATTCTAAGGAATAGTCGCAGTCCAGAATAATGGGCGACGATGCCGGCGATGCGATTTCCGGCACAAGAAGTTGATTGATTTTAACAGAGGATATTTTCTGTATGCCTAAAACGAAGTTAATTGAGATAAACATTTATACAGTGATTCATTTTGTTAGAAGATCTTCAAATATATATTTTGTTAAGTAAATTTAGTGAGTTAAATGAAAATATTTTATTGCTCATTTTCTTGTTATTTTTTAATTTATGGCTAAGACTTTAATTAAATAATTATATCGAGGATATAATTAAAAGACACTGAAACGTTGAGTGTGTTTAAAACCATTATAGCTTTAATATTTATATTTTTAAGTTAAGTTAATTTTATTTATTAAGTTAACAGAGGTGGAAAAAAGGTCGTAATTTGAATGTAGGAGGAAAAACTACTGCCTGTTTTCCAATTTTAACGTTTGCCTGCAGACGTTTATAAATTAGAAACTCAAAATAAGGCTTTTTTGCAATAAAAATATTTGTTTTGCATTTAAAGAATTTTCTCTTCTCTCCACTCATTGCCTGCAATTCAAAATCAATTTATTTTAATATTAATGTTCATGTCTCAGTTAACAATCTTGCGATTCCGCATCGCATATCATCGTCCGCACTGTTGCTATTTAAAAATATAAAAAAATAGGGGAAAAATGATTGAATTAAATTTCCAAACGTCCAAAATTGAGCTATTTTGTTTTAGTTGCTCGAACCGGGAAAATTATGTGGTTTCAAAAATCTCAATGGCACAACAGCAACATTAACCACCCTGTTCCACACCTTTTCAAAAATTCAATGAAATTGAATCTAACTTATGATAAATGAACATTTCACTTTTCTGCGTGCTCTAAACTTTGAATGTTTTTCAAATCCCCGCAGCTTGAATATTTGTATTTTTGCTATTTATATTTTACTTTTACGGATTAAGTCTACTGGAGGAGTTCCCGTATTTTTAATGTGAGGGAAAAAACCACTGCCTATTTTACAATTTAAACTTGCTTGCAGATTTTTATAAATTAAAGATAAAAAAGAAGATTTATGAGCTTGATCGGCCTCTTGCATAACAGGCAAAGCGAAATTTCTGTCTTTTAGGAAACTTAGTTTTTTCGTAATAAAACTTAAAATATTTGCATATACATTCGCTTACCTTCACAAAACAATAACAAAAAGCGAACAGAAAAAGTCAATTGCAAATATCCAAACTCCATTGAATAATGATAAATTAACATTACACTTTTCTGTGACTTTCACTAATCACTTCGGCGTAAATAAAGCCTACAAAGATCATATTTCTGCAATTAAAAGTCGGCGTAACTTTTTTTCTAAGACAGGCACGTGTCGACGCTCGTACATTTGCTCAGAAAGGGCGTCGCGACGACACTAACCTTTGAATGAAACCTTGCGTTCGGAAAGGGTTTAAGGCGCATGAAATGTGTTAATTGGTTAAGGGTAAATGCGTTTAAAATTGCATTGCGTTCTTATAATAATAAGCTCCAATGAAAGCTTGTCATTAAACTATTCTGTATAGAGAATGCCCAAGTTAAGTCGAATTTGCTATTCGTTTTCTTTTCATTAGTGCCGATAGAGGATTGACCGAAGCGAAAAACAAATATTTTACAGCCTGTAAAACACTGATAATAGTGTTTGATACAGAATGATGCAAAAATGTATGGAAAATGAAATAATTTTAAACATTGAACATTTTTGCAATATGCCCATTAGAACCACCGGAAATATTTCCATAATCCACTCCAATCGGAATCCATCCTGTACTTTTCCAAATGACTTTCCTTTGTTTGGAAAAACCTTTGATGTAGCCGCGGCACTGAGACGCACCTTCAGAAGAAAAGCGAGCGTTCGCGTGTGTTCTCTGCATTTTTTCTTTAATTAGGCCTTTGGCAAAGGATTTTCAACTCCATCTGAGTGGCTTTTTAAACTGCAATGCCGGCCGCTATTCGCTCTTTAGTGCCTTCAATATCAAAGAGAAGAGAGGTGCAATTTTTCCCGAAGGCACAAAGGTACATTATATGGATCAAAAAGAATTCGGGATAATGCGCTCGAATTTTCCGGCAGCTGATTACGAAAGTACACATGCTAGATTCGCATAAGAATAACTTGTTGCAAAGCAGCAGGAAACTTGTATGGCTTAATGGACWTTTTCTAGATCAAATCGATCATTCGAGTGAGTGAGGTGACCCTCGATCATTCGAGTGAGTGAGGTGACCCTCACTCACTGCTGATTTATCGAGGAAAAAGCTTATTAGGCGATTTTTAATTGGCAGAGTGCGGCTCGCCTAATAAACGAGAAACGGGCGTCTTGGCGCCGCGAAAAAACAAAAGAGAACCACTCGACTGGAGCAGGAAACAAAACACCATCAGTGGCTTCCAATCGAGATCAAAGGCTCCTAGATCAAAGAGAACGGGGTGTAATTGGTAATTAGGGTGGCAGACGCGACAAGAGTCTGTCAAGGGACAGGAAACAAGCCAATGGAAAGTCAGCCACGGTGTGAAAAAAAAATGGATAAAATGGAAATTTTTTCTAAGCCAGTTGTAATTTGGGAAAACTTTGAGTGTCTTGAGCGTCAAAACTAGAAAATGTCTAGTGCTGCTTAGAAAATCAATGCATTTGAAAACAAATTTGCTTGCAGAAGATGCCAGTATTGTTTTTGTTTAGTGATGAGCAAGACTGAGAGTAATAAAGACAAAAAAGCAAGACCGTAATAAGATCAAATCGCAAATTTGAAATTTTAATTTTATTTATGTTATTGTCATTATCGAATATATTTTACTTGATTATACGTCTATTTATATCCAAGACTTGCATGGTTTTAGTCTTGGTCTTGTTTTGCCTAAAAAAGAAAGCTGGATCCGCCTCTGATGTTCATCTGTATGCATCCATATATTTTTTGTATTTAATATAATGAGGATTATGATAAAGTTAGAAAACTTAATTAACGTTTATATTCAGGGTGGTTTGAAATAATGGAGAACTTTTATACATACGGATTATTCATAAAAAAATAACACTAGTTTGCGTGATACATTATGCCTCAAACATACTTCCTCATTGTAATACTACAGTGTTGAAACTAAATTGAAGAAAGCCTAATTCCGAATTTCCAAAAAAAGATGGAATTTAGAAAAGAGTTAGAACGTTGTAACAATTTTCGCTTTTCTCAGGATTAACTTGTGGAAATCCCTGACACTCATATAAGTCCAATTTGGGCGATGTAAAGGTCGAAAAGTTGAACATTTTGCAGTTATTACGTTTTTCTTCTGCCAATCAGCGTCTCAGTTATGTCGCTGTATTAGAAACGTGTGAAAAGAAAAAGACGAAGACTGCAGAAGGAAAACGTGACTGGAAATGATAAGGGAAAATCTCGGGAGTGGAAGCATCAAGGATATAATGAAACATTTTTATTGCAATTGATATGTAGTAATGAGCACAACGGAAGTCGATAAAAATATAGGTGGGTCACATTTGATGGCCATGTTTTTCCCATAAAGATAGCTTTTTTATAAGCCACCTTATCCACCCCCTCGATAATTCTACCAAAAGTCTTTTATAATGGCCATTAAGGCGACGGCTCTATAAACTGCAAGCTGACTGGGATGTATCAGTTGTTCTGGTAAGAATTTTAGGTGAAAACGTCTAAATAAACATAAAACATACAAAATTTGTCAATTTTTCAGTCTTCTCACAGAACTATTTTTTATTGAAGGATATTTGTGTAATTTTAAGAAATTCTGTGCAAAAAATGTGTGATAATTCTGCAACATTGAAAGCTTCGTCAAAGTTTAGTTTTTCCCCATTAATATTATGTAACTTTTTTAAACATTTTTTTCCTTTTCAATTCAATTACTGAATATCATTTTTGCATGTTCTTCGCTGTTTCGTCTTTTCCTTCCCTCAATCAATATTACCTATCTCATGCTAATGATTATAAATTGTTCATTCAGTTATTGCTGCATAGCTTTAAAGTGTACAGTTTCCACTGTATTTGAAAAAAAGACAAATATACAAAAAATGTGCTTTATACGACAGATAAAGTTCAAAGAAATAAAGACACCTAAACTTCTGCGTTAAATTAGCTAAAGCAAGTAGCAATTATTAAATTTTTTATTTCATTTAACTGGTAAACCGATCCACTTCAAAATTTTAACACTCTACCAAGGGCAATAAATTTCCAAATGCACCTGTTCGTATCTGGGCTACCCGATGTTCAAAGGGGCGCGACTTCTCTTCAGATTTTTCGGCGGTGTATAAAAACGATTATTAATCACCCCTTAAGGGATCTTCAAGGTCGGGTTTCCTTAAGGGTTTTTTTAAATTAATTCAGAATAGGTAACGGTATATCTTGTAGCGAGGCTTTATAAATTATAATAAGAGACTTCCTTAGTTTATTTCGAATATATTAATGCTGGCTGATGTGTGATGTTTTTCTCCCATGGTTTCTCTCAAGGAAAGTGAAAAATATTTGTATACCGGAGTTACTTATATTTTTAAATGAGCACCTTCAGAAGATTTATTCTGAAATATATGTATTTTTTAAGTAAACTTTATAATAGGGAGGATTAATAATTGAATTTTGTGTTGGTTATTAAGCTTTATGATTTCCTTATTAGTTTCCATTTCTATTGTGTGTTAATAAATTGGTTGTCTGTGCTTCATTTTTTTCCATTTGCCACTTTAAGAGGCAATTGATCCATTTAATATTTTCAGCTAATAATTATTGATTTCATATTTTCTTCTTCGGTGCATCGTGTTCTTAAAAATATTGTACTTAAATTGAAAATGCCACATTTTGTAGTTTATACATTTCATGTGATTGAGGCGGATTCATGCTTTCAAAACATTTTTGTTGAGCAATTTGCCACAAAAATTGTTGCGCTTGCAAAAAATTTAAAGACGTTTTTGAGGGAGTTCTGTTCATTTTAAAGGACAATAATTTTGAGACCAAAACACCAGCGACAAAACGGTTTCCAAAATATTGTAATTGATTTAATTAGTAAAAATTCATGTGTGTAAAGATTCACTCACACACTTTAACCACAGATTATTTATGTATCATATTTTAATTATTTTTATATCATTTTCAGAGTTTGTCGTTTTTTTCTTCATTTGGTTTACTTAGTTCAACTTTACTGGGAATCATTCTGATAACTTAAACGGTGATTTATTTACATCCTTTTGGTCTCATAAAGTTCCTACAATGCGGCGATCACAAAAATAATTTTCTGTTTCTTTCCAAAAGTTTTCAGGCCCAAGTTTGCAATGTTTTCCTGCAAACGACCGTGATCCAAAACAACCATTAGAACGCAATATTTTAAAATTTTCCTCCCAAGTTATTTAACCTTTTTCTTTGAATGAATGACGCAAATAACTCTCCTGGGAATCAAACATTCTTTATTGATTTTCGAACTCTTCAAACAAGCCAGCTTAATTGATCAGGTTTAAAAAAATAAGCCCTTCAATCAGAAAAAAAGCCGCCCTATGAAGTAGGTTAATTACACCCTCTAAGGATGAATTCAAAGCAAAAGATCAAGGTTCTGTTCCCACCCTTATTTGCAGGTCAGTTTCATGAGAGACTGGGCTCGAAAACGAAATCGTTTAGTTGAAAATAAAAGTCGGCTAATTACAAAGGAAAGGGAACGGTTACTTTTTCTCAGCCCTTGAGAGGGCACAAAGGGATGCAACTGGATGGTCCAGGTAGAAAGTTTTTAGATGAATGGTTCGCCACACGAGTCACACGCTTATTCCATGGTTTTGAGGGTTCCTGACCCTCATCTGGGGACTCTTTGGTAAATTTATGTGTCAATAGTAAAGGGTTATTTGACTCGACTATGATGATTCTTGTTATTAAAAAATCGAGTTTCTATCGACTTCAATTTTTTTACTTCTTCTAAACTGGTATGTTCAGTCATGTAAATTAGTATAATTTTCATTCTCTGGTAGACGACAAAGTTGGCCTGAACAAAGAAAGAATTTTATCCTTAGGGGGACGAATTTTGTGCCGGATTTTCTCACGCATTATGCTCAGGGCAATTAAAATTCAAATTTTTGGGGTGCAACCTGTCATCCATATGATTTCGCTGTGGCTTTCGTCCTATTGAATTTGGATTTTTTCAAAAATATTCTTTGAAATACAAAATATACAATAATAAATTACAAATAAGACATTGAATTACATTTTTTTCTTGAATTTTTGTGAGGACAAGAAAGCGTCGTTAATTATCACTGTTTCATTAAAACGAAGTCTTGCTATCACAATCTTTGTACGTTTGAAGGCAACCTTCAAGGAAAAGTGACCTTTTAATGCAGTAAAATACTATATATTGTGCCCAGTGTTTAGGAATAAAGGTACTGTTTTCTACTTTCCTCAAAATCAGCAAGTAAAAGTTGAGGTAAAGTTCGAAACATAGATACTTCTAATATATTCTCCTAAAGTTTTGCGTATTAAGCTATCTAAAAATATAATTTTTATGCCACTTTCGTTTCTTGCCATTTCTTGTAATTTTATTTTGTGTCTGAGGTATTGAATGAAATTCGAAACAATGCATTAACTTAAATTTAATTTAATGTCACAGCCATCCATCAAAACTCACAAAAATGTGTGTAAACTAAACTTTGTGCAGAATATTTAATTCTTTATTAGTGTTTGTTTTGCGAAAAGAGCGGATGATTGAATTGAAAATTGATGAGAAATAAACAAATTATTTTTATTTTAATGCACATTTTTCCAACCTGTTCATTCGATTTCTGAAGTTCTGAAGTCACTTAATTCATCATTTAAAACATGAAAAACGAACTGAAAATGAAACAAAGAAGGAAAAGTTATCAAAAGGCAAGTCAAGACGATACGAATAAACTGAACAAAGTACTAGGAAGGGTAAGCAGAAAGTGTAAAGACTATCGAGGAAAATGAAAGTCTGGAAATAATGAGCAAACTCACAAATGGAAAATTATAAATCGTCAAACTCAAAGAAAAAAATCACAAAACAACATCGAACAGAGAGCTTTCTTTTGTTTGTCCGGCTGCGACTGGATGGCAAAATTCTTCTCGAAGACATCCGGTGTCCCGTAGTGTTAACCCCAAGTTTTCGAGAGTTAAGCAAGTAAGAATGGATCAGCTTAATATAGTATAAGTTGTTTGCAACTCAATATAATTGGGTTAAAATAAATCTCGCGAGTTCTAATTGATGATCTGGAAGTGTTGTTTTTCTTCTATTATTATATTAATTCTTTAATAGTTTTTCGCAAACCTTTGAAAACATTGCTTTGCAAACTATGCTTACCGTGGCCTAGAGGAAGACTGCTGTATTCTTCTATGAAGGACTTGGCTTACGGACATTTTTAAGTGTTTGCTTTATCTTTATCTATTCCGGTCCAAGTCTTATTATCGCGTCTTTTTTGTAGCTTTCCTCTGTGGCCTCTGTTGGTGCTGTTTTTTAAGCAGCGTTCAATCTCCTAATTATTTCCTCCTGTTCGAAGGACACATTTTTTCTGTGATTTACGGAATACCATTGTTTTGGCCTCAAGTGCTTTTGAAATTAGTCCAAACTGAACATTCCTAAAGGGGTTTGGGCAAGACACAAATCGACTTGTTCCAAGCCTTAATTTTCAACTCACTGAAATCAGCAGGTAAAAAACATAAAGCAATTTGAGTAGAAAGGACGCAAGTTCTGTTCTTCTTCAAAACGACATAGAAATGATCTTTCCTGGCCTGGAAGATTTCGCACCCACCCGGAAACTTTCCGGATGGGATGTCTTATTAACGATTTTATTTTACGGCCGAATTGTCCCACTTATTTACCTTGTAATAGATGCAAAGTGGTGGTAAAGTGGTTATCACCGCCTCAAATTAAGTCCTAACTGACTCCGAAATTGATTTTTCAACTGTTCCAGGGGCCCAGTAATTGGATTGCGGGAATCTGAATTTTTATTTTATTTGCTCACGAATTTTAGATTAAATTAAATCTTCAGAATCCACGGGCAAAACTGATCCTTTTTGTACGAGAAGCAAACCGCAAAGAACATGAGAAATATAAAGAAATAACTATTTATAATAGGGAGATCGGAAGTTTTTCTACGAATCCCTAAAGAAAATTGCTGACTGCATAAAAAACGAGAAAGACACACACGATCATAAGTTCTTTCGTTGGATGTATATTTTATATATTATGTATATTTTAACAGTTTCAATATGAAAGAGTACTTCTCATGCTTCAACTCATCAAGATTAAACCACCCGGTCGGTATAAAACGAGATTCTTTTTCGAATTTACGAATTGAAAAAAGGACAAGGAAGTAAAATAAAATGTCCTTTTAACTCTTTAACGGTTTATTAATCCTACATAACTATCTCTATTCACTTTTTATTTTGCTAATTTCTATTTGTACAGTTCTATAGAAAATAGCCTAATTAGATTGCGATTACTTATTATATTTGCGTGGCAAATAATATCATTTTTAACCTAAGACTGGCACTTGCAGGTCTACCTTTGTGTTAAAAATCAAATTTACACGCAACATACAAAAAATATTTGTATGCAATTATTTAAAAGAAAATCAGAAATAGATGTGGAATTATTACGTTTAAATAGTAAGAAACTATACAAAATTAAAGCTTTTTTCCTATCACCATCTCACTGATTCGAGAAAACCTCAGCCAAAGTATCTGATTTAGTCGGCTTTTGCTTGAAGATCAGGCTTCTTCACCAAGGTCTCCACATGTCGTCTCTTTGCTCATTGTTCTGAGCTCCAGCCAACGGCTCCAGTAAGTTTACGCTTCGCAACGGCGCTTCCGGCTCTTCTTCGTTAAGAACTGAGGAAGAACTGCGCTCCGTTTCCTCCTCAGAGGCAGCTTGATGATCCAAACTGGGTCCCACATAGGTGGCTGTTGGCACTACATGATGAGCAGTCTTTATTATTTTACTGGGCCGCATAAAACTTTCGTTGGCCGCGAATGGAAAAACTTCCGGATGTTGGTTCATTTCCGAGTAGACTCTTTTGGTGCCACGCACAATGAATTGGTTCTCCTCCAGTCGAATTGAGTCCTCTTTCTGCTGCGCCTGCTTGAATCGCTCTCCTCGATTGGTTATCACACACAGCGGCTCGGAAAGTTTCCTGATAACACTCGTATGTTCCACCAGCTTTCTCTCCTTATCCAGCGGCTTGTGGATCGGAAACTTAATGGTCTTAACTTCCATGGGAGCGCTGAAGTGTTTCTCCACGTTGCTAACAGTGGAAGTGATTTGGGGCACTTGGTGGTCGCCTCCAGGGTATCCAGGTTTGGGTCTGGGTATCGGCCGGAAGCCCTTAGAGGAATCAGCTTTTGGGGGCACTTCAATCGGGCTCAATGGAGGACTGAGAATTCTTGGAGGATCACCCGCTTGAGGCGTGACGGCCACAAAAGCGCTTGGACGGTTTGGAAGAGAGAGCGAAGGAAAATATGATAAGTTTGAGGAATTGGGTACTAAGAGAGCCAACTCGCCAGTGGACAGTCTGGAATAGATAAAACGAAATATTTAGGTAGGTAGTTACAGCCGCAATTAAAAAGTCTTAAAAACTTCCTGATTTGCTCGATTATGGTATAAAGCAGGACGTTGTAGTTCAATAGAGTTTGACCTTCGTGTATGTATGAAAGGCATGTAAGAAAAGGCATGAAAAAGGAAAAAAATAAAGCTATGAAATATTGTGAGAGCACTTTTGAGTAACCTTGTTCAAAAGCACAATTAGACACTACAAAAACCGCGCAAAAATGCGCACATTGAAAATTAAAACAATGCGAACAATTTAACGAAAAATATCTTTGATATAATATGAAGTGAAGGCCTTATGTCGGCATTACACTGCTCACTTTGCCTCGATTTATTGGCCAATAAATTGGGCCAATTATTGAAGGTCACCATACCACATAATACGTGAAATCGGCCTGCGATGGATAAATCGGACGACTAATGGGAAATTATTGTGGATTACGAAAAATTTCGGGATTATTTGTTGCTTGATAACAATACAATGACGATGTTGGCAGAGAATCTCCAAGTAAATTGACGAACTTAGGAAATGTTTCTATTAATTGTGATCAACATGTTGAAAGTCTGCGTTGCATGCAATAAATGTAGCAAATTAATAAAGAAAAGTAGTCGATTCTTTAGAGGCCCAAGTAAATAATTTGGCTCCTTGCTTTGATCTACAAATCGTCACCAACACAAAATAGCAGAACGAAAATACTAAATTTATGTTGCTCTTAGTGAAATTGCAACAATTTATTGTAAGCGCAATATCCAAGTGTAAAGTCGATCACGGTGAAGAAGATTGCTTTCAATAATTGACCCACTTTTTTGGCCAATAAATCGGGAAAAAGTGCGAGTGTAATAAAACCGGCATTAAAAAACAAAATGTGAACTAACGCTAAGACTAATGCGAAGGAAGATTTTGGAATAAGCACGATTAAATTGTGCAGAACAACACACTAGTGGAGAAGAAAACCTCAAATAAGAGTTTGCTTTGAAAGAATGAATAGAAAGAAAAAATTCAGAGACCATTCGATAATGACGATGTTGAATCGAAGGAAACGGAAACAAAATGTTCGCGATTAAGCGACTGTCT